TGAAACACCTTCCAGTGGGTCGAATCCACTTTTATTACCACCAAAATGTGTACCATCAACAGTCTAAAAAATGCGCTAGCATTGCCGCCTTCGGCTACCATTACTCACGGCGCATCATTCGCGTTATGCCATGCCATTCGAGTCGTTACAATGTATTATTCCCGTAAAAATTGCCGCTTTTGGTTTCAAACATTCGCTGTATGGTCAGCAAACAACGTTACGACCTACCACACTATGTGACAAGATTAGAAAGCTTGGTGAAAATGGGCTGGAGGCCATTCCTGAGGTTACCTTCGTGCACGTACAGTGCGTGCAAGCGTCACGCTGATGATCTTGGCCGCGGAAGAAGTGAATCGGCGTTTCCAGCACAAACCTCTCACGTACCGGGGAGTAGGGATGAAACGGTTACAGCGTCTGGACAAAGACTACCAGTGTAGCACCCACAAGCCACCAGGGAAAGGTAAAAATGCAAACCACGTAATAAAGATGTCTGTTCCAGTTTTGAAAAAAATGAAAAAATAACTGCATCACTAGTTTAGACTTATGGCCTTCATTGACCACTGTCTAACCGGGGAAGATGGCTGGTGCACATTTAAGGTGGGTTGATCTTAAATTGATGGGTCCGGTGGGAGTCCTGAGGTCCTGTCTTATTTCGTGACACAATGGTCAGTGGATTAAAGTAAGCGGTGCCTATTCCTAATAGCAGCACGGATATAATAATATGTGCGGTGCGGCGCAGCTCGCCGGCTCGTGCCACGCCGAGCGTGTTCACCTGAGCAGAAGCCGGCCAGCATCTCATTTGCACCAAATTGGCGCGACTACTTCGAGGCTGATCTAGATCATAACGTCACAGCGCACCACCGGAAAAAATAATATGCGGAAATAACGGTCACGATCTGTTGGCATCCTCACAGCTTCAGTGTCTCGCTACACTCACAGTTTAAACGTTTCGTGGCATGTATCAGTGTCAGTATCGGTATCAGTATCAGTCCCAGTATATTGGAAACCACCCTCATGGTGGTTTCTGAAGGCCTCAGGTTACACAGGTGATTATGAAAAGCCACACACTAAAGGTGTACCATAAAATGACGAGAACAATGGTCAGCCACCTAAAACAGACCTATTAGTGCACTTTGGGACGGAGCAGGTCAGCGGTACGTGGTTAAAATCACATCACGTATGGCGGTCTTAAATGCGTCCATCGTTTTGGCATGGCGGGCACACGATGACAGCCGGTTCCACGCAGCTGCGGGCCGATGCGAAGGCGCCTTCTGTATGGCAATCGGTAGGCGTCTGTGTGGGTGCCGAATACGTCTGGCCGAGACGCGCGTTTCACGACTCAAAACAGCGGCGCGTGGGCCAAGACGCGCGCGGACCTCGTGAGGCGCACCTGCCTCCTTCAGTGCCTAAAACACTTAAATCACGTCGCGGTGCGCCATCATGATGTCGATCCTCGGCCATCCAAGATAATTTAGAACCTGAGTTAAATGACGGTATTTTTGAAGCAGGCAATTATTACTCTTGCGGCAAAGTTAATTGTTTTAAAAATTTTGTGGAGTTGACTCTTGGTCGCCCCACCACGCACGCACAGGCAGTATGTGATATGAGGGCACATGCACCCTTAAGTAATGATTTTGGGTAGATCTCGAGTGAAGTAATGGCAGAATTTGTACAGAGAAATGAGAATGTCACTGCATTTTTTTCACGACGTTTATGGCACGGGCATCTCGTGACGGGCCGGAGTCAACTATGATGCCGATAATTTTTATGCTTCTTGAGGCATGCGCAGTCTAGTCGTTCACGTTAAAATGGATGTCAGCCGACTTTTTAACATTTTGCTCTGACCCAACGAGCATAAAAGCAGTGTTTGTTTCGTTCATTTGGAGAGATCTGGCACTGAAGCAGTTCTGAAGCTCACGCATGGTAAGTTCCAGTCTGGTTTTGAGGTTGACGACACCCATTCCGTCGAGGTGGACGATGCACGTGAACTGCGCGACGCAGTTCACGTGCATGGTGTCGTCAGCGTCGGAGCTGGGGCGGCCATGAGTCGGGTATCCATGTACGCCATGGTAAACCAAATGAACATGTATCCATGGTAAACCAAATGAACATGTATCCATGGTAAACCAAATGAACATGTATCCATGGTAAACCAAATGAACATGTATCCATGGTAAACCAAATGAACATGTATCCATGGTAAACCAAATGAACATCTATCCATGGTAAACCAAATGAACATGTATCCATGGTAAACCAAATGAACATGTACCATGGTAAACCAAATGAACATGTATCCATGGTAACCAAATGAACACAATTTGACAGATGATCGAGCCTTGGTTCACCACACGCCCATGGTGAGAGTGAGCCGCCCTCCACGCATCACCTGCCCTTGACCTCTCAAAATCACTCCTTAACCATCCACCACATCGGTAACGCGACACCGAGACAGCCTTGGTGAGGACGTCGTGGTCGACGCTGTCGAACGCCTGTGACAAATCGATCGTCGTTAGCGATGATGTAAGACCGCCGTCAGTGCTGGTGACCCAGGCGTTTCGACCGCGGTGAGCACGGCATCTTCGGTCGAGGTGGCGTGGCCCTATATGTATACTGGGATGGATGCAGCAGCGCTGCCGCGCTCAACTATTCCGTAAGGTGTGTGCAAGCTGACCTTTCCAGAGATCTTAGAGAGCACAATGAGTAAAAATATGGCCTCTTGTTGGACGGTACAGCCGGACAGCTGACTTAGGAACTGTTTACAACGCGTGTCGTCCTCTACCTACCCTGGGAAAAATTCGGCCACAGGAGACAAGTTGGTGACATTTTTAAAGATGGGGACAGACGATTGGAAAAAATTCCCGCACAGCCAGGCAAAGGACCTCATCCAAGTCCACCTCACTGCGATGTACACATACGCTGAACCACACCGTGACAGCTCTGGTAGCGTCGCAGGTCGGAACAAAAAGCCAGCAAGCGCAGGCGATGGGCGGTCCAGGGGTTCCTGGAGTCGGCGTTCGCTATGCCCCGAAGGTTGGCTGCAATGCGGAGCACCATGGCAGCGAAGCGGCGGGCTGAGCTTACCGGCAGGCACCTCCACCTCCTCGGAGCTCAGTCACAGACGCGGCCTCGGCCCACGTCAAAGCTGCCATGACGAACCTCTTGAAGGTCAGCCAGAGACCACAGCGGCACCGTGCGCCGTCTCGCCACAAAGGCACTCGCGTCCGACACCAGATGTTTCGACTATAAGCGCTACATTCATACCGCATTGCAGTTCCCTAGTCAAATCCTCGCGATAACTTAAGCTCTTCTCTCCTATCACCAGTGCCGAACCGGGGCAGCTTCAAATACCCACAGCGTGAGTACTCAAAGCACACCTCCTGTACCCGTTTCATCTGGCCGCCGACTTCCGTTGGCCGTCTGCGCGCCAGGTCGGTGACCTGCCCCGGAGTCCGCAGCGATCCGGCTGCCACGAGCCCACGCCCCAGCACCCAGCCGCATCAGAGGTCATAGGTCGAGTCACTCTCCGTCCTAGCGCCAGCCCGCCCAGCCGGCGGCGTCGGGCCACCTGGCGCTCCACTCACGTCAGCCAGCTGGCGCTCCGCTCACGTCGGCCACCGAGCGCTTCGCTCACGTCGGCCACCGGGCGCTTCGCTCACGTCGGCCACCGGGCGCTCCGCTCGCGTAAAGCTAGCGGGCGCTCCGCTCACGTCGGCCACCGGGCGCTCCGCTCACGTCAGCTAGCGGGCGATCCGCTCACGTCGGCCACCGAGCGCTCCGCTCACGTCAGCTAGCGGCGATCCGCTCACGTCGGCCACCGGGGCGCTCCACTCACGTCGGCCAGCAGGCGCTCCGCTCACGTCAGCTAGCGGGCGCTCCCGCTCACGTCGGCCACCGGGCGCTCCGCTCACGTCAGCTAGCGGGCGCTCCGCTCACGTGCGGTCACCGGGCGCTCCGCTCACGTCAGCTAGCCGGCGCTCCGCTCACGTCGGCCACCGGGTGCTCCGCATCACGTCAGCTAGCGGGCGCTCCGCTCACGGTCAGCTAGCGGGCGCTCCGCTCACGTCAGCTAGCGGGCGCCGCGCTCACGTCAGCCACCGGGCGCCGCGCTCACGTCGGCCGCCGGCACGCCGGAGAAGCGGAACTCCTGGAAGAGGAAGCGGTCGAGCGGCAGCGGCGGCAGCTGACGTCGGCTGATCTCCAGCTGCAGCTGGTGGATGGCCGTCCACACGAGGAACTGCTGGGGGCGCGAGTACACCATCTCGGCCCGCACCGGGTGGTGCCGGTTGTGCGCGCCGCCCCTCGCCATGCTGCCGCAAGCACAGCATCCGCCCGGGGTCCGGCGACACGCCCAGGAAGGTGTGCACCCTCTCCAGCTGGGCCCACGGCTCCGACTGACGGCACGCAGAGGTCACGAAGAGGTCACACGGCCTGGCTCGTGGCAGATAACGGATCCCGACTCCCCGGTTCGATTCTCCGCGGCGTCCGTCCCGCCTGTCAGGGTGAGAGGCGGGATATATAATATATATATATATATATATATATATGCCATACAGCCTCAGCAGCTGAGTGCGTCGTAAAGGCCCAATAACGAAGGTTACAGGAAACGCATATCTCCATCGGCCGTGCGCACGTGAACCTTATCACTGGGGGCCGTTCGTCACCATTTACCACAAATTCTCCATTCCACAGACGGATCCATTTTTGATGGGTTACGTTAAATCTTCGCGTTGTCAGCCACCAATGAAACAAGGACGGCCCAAACTTGAGCTGCACCGGTTTGTAACAACACGCAGAAACATAGGTCGTCATGACGTAACCTGTTTCTTTATTTACCTTTGCAGGATCCAACCTACCTTTACATCGTTGTTCGTTACCTGCTATGCATGCCATTTGAGGAGACAGAAAATCATGCAGGAGAAGGACAGTCGTCAGGCTAAAGCAGGACAATGCATCAAGGCGGAGCACTTCCCCCTCAAAACGTAAAAAAAAATATTTGTGGAGAAAACTATGAAATGACGTCACTGAGGTTCGGCGCGCAAAAAGACACACTCTCGTAATGTTCTGCTGTGTCGTACGTGACAGCCAAATCCAGGCTGGTGCTTTTCAATCTTCTCACACTTCCCTTTAGCAAAGAGCGGATAGCACGATTTCGTTCCACGCAAAGGCACGTTTGGAGAATTCCGCCAAAACACCCCAAACATCTAAGAATAACTTGTGTATACCAGGCGCTTCCAGCTTGGGGAAGGGGATTCCCCAGCCCCAACGGGAAATATCTCAAACTGTGGACAATTTTGAGTTATTGTGCTTTTACCACATACAATGGCATTCACCGCAAGAACTGAGTCAAAAATATATGCTATAGTAGCGAAAGGCGAGAGCGGTGTATCCACTGACATGGAGTGTTCAGGGACGGGGGAGACAGGTACCGACGGTCCAATGCTGTCACGTGATTTACATTGGCCGTGTACAAGCACTGTGTAGAATACTCATCTGGGCCTTTTAGCCGCTTGTCTTGCTCGCAATAAGAGGTTAGAATACACATGGTTTGTTTTAGTTGGGTTTTGTTGCTCGGTTCGGGGATAGCCATAACTTGATGCAGGCCGGGAGCACTGTGTGTGGTCATGTACCTCAAAAATCAGAATAACAGACAAAAAAGCTGTAATCAAATTTACGCGCGGGGCTCCTCCAAGATGGGACTCAGTCTTCCAGTCTTCAAAAATTGACGGTCAGCGTATACCGCTCGCCGCCAGAGGACGCATGGTGCGTGCCTGAGTTTTTTTACATCTGGTTTGCAGCCAGATCACAATGATGTCACAGCGGGGCTCTTCATTTTCGTGATGCCAAAGCGCGGTAGTGGGCTATCTGTCCACGCTGAAGCTGATCATCGTATTACCCTCCGCAACCTTGCGTGCATGCCATGCATCACGCCTCCTGCAGCCCACCAAAGCAGGCGGTACTTACCGTGACGAATATCACGTAGATTGGTCAGGAGTCAGATTATCCCACACCGGACTTGCCCATATGACGTTTGTCTCTCACTGACATGGCTTGATGTGACAGGAGTGTCAGAGATGCAGAGAACTACGGGCAATGCTTTTAAGGAACGGCTTACCTGCAGGTTCTCGTAGTGTATCACAAGAAGGTCGTCAGTCTGCTCGAGCCATTGGATGTTGAATTCGAGCCAGCTCTGTGCGTAATACTCAATAAATGTTTGCCAATCTGGAATGATTGCCAAATCGGTTAAGACGTGCATCATCTTGCAGTGCCGGTGTTCATGGTGTAACTATTGATATTTTCCACATTTCAATGAAGATCACTGAATCACCACCAGCTCATCCTCTGTTAAACATCCCAATGCAGCATTGGCATTCCCTCTGCCTTCGATTGCATCAATCACAAATCACGATCTCGCCTATCACTCAGCGCCAGTTGGGCTGACGAGCTTCGTCACAGATGACGTCACGAGCCTTCGTCATAGCTTGACCGGTGCGCGGACAAAAAGTGGAATGTAATAAGTGCGAGCAGGTAATTCAAATAACGTTCTCGCATGGATGCATGCAAGTCGTCTGGTTGATTCCGTTAGGTCGTACCATTGCTGTGCATTGGATGGCCTATCTAGTTCACAAAGGTAATTCGGTCTGACCGCCTGAGTGACCTTGAATGAAGGCATTGTTGCATAACGATCGAGACTATCTTTTACTGCTATGGATGCATTTTTGTTCGGACCATCGTCCTATTCTGGTGTGTTTGCTTGTACGAAACGTTTCGGTCATTTTAATCCTCGACCATCGTCAGGAGTTACTGAGTGCTGAAAAGGACTGAATAATGTTGAGCTTTCAGTCATGCACACAGCACAGTCCAAATTTTGCTCCTCGGAATTGCTGTGATCCAAACTTCGGATTATGCGTACAGGACTCAGAAGTGATTGGAATCATCTCATGTTGGGGGAGAGGGGGGGGGGGGGGAGCAAAGGGCGACACCATTTTTAGTTATCTGCTTTCAGATCTCAGGTTATCTTATCCCCCATTAATGATATTATCTTAACCCCTTATCTTATCCCCATTATCATATTATTTCCTTTCAGATTATCCTACCCCCCTTAAAATGATCAGCTGACGCTCAATTTCCAGAGCGTTGGGGCTAAAGCCCCTACCCCCTCCGCGGTTTGCGCGCCCCTTCCAGCCAGCGCCCTACGGCTCCTCCCGATTAGCTCAGGGGTGGAGCGGAAGAGTGGAGCAGAGGTGCGGGTTTTTCTTGGACGGAAAGCCTGTTGGGTGGCTTGGTAGCCGCCGGTATAAGAAGAGGTTTCCTTTCCGCTCGCTGGCGTACCTTCAGGGGTTAACAGCCTCGCGGGAAAGGTGCCGTGATGTCCCGGGGGGGCACGCGATGTGATAGGAAACTGCTCGTTTTGGGGCTTTGTTCTTAGTTTTCTCATTGTGCTGAAGCTATTACGCAAAGCTATGCTAGAACTACATAGGTAGGCATGTATGCACAAGCGAAGCCATCTGTCTATTTCCTTTTGTATGGTCTTGATCCTCATGAAAATCGGAACGACGCCCTTATTCAGGGTGTCTGGAACCGTTGTGATCATGGATTAGGAGTGCTTAAAAGGTTAACGTGACAAAGGTGCCGGAAACAACATCCTTCAATGTTGGAATGTAGGTGCTATGCCAGTTTTAAAGAGATTTGGTGCGGCTGCTGCCGCCCTTTCTATACCGTAGTTCCCGCCCACGCCTGTGAAATGTTTCATTGTCCATCCCCGACAGACAGTCTGATTTTGCGAAGTCTAGTATCCAGGCATATGTAGGCATCCCATAAATGGCGATAAAGTCTCGGCAGATACATTTTCAGCAAATCCAAAAACTAAAAACGTTTTAAGCTCAAGAAAAGACGATTCGCTTTCCTGAGTCAAACAGTTGTATTTTTTGCGCCACACGGCAGCACTCCCAATAAGGCAGTTAGAAGTAAGACGACTACGTAGCCACGGTGCCACTCGAATGTTCAGTTCAAAAGGGGCTTTTGAATCCGACTGAATTCATAATGTATCATGACGCCATTCCAAAACTTTATCTCGAGGGGTGAACGTTTCAAACAACCAGTTCGTAAGGGATCATCCGATGCCTCTAACGGAACACAGCAGATCACTTTAAGGCAACTCGAAGGGAACACAGCAGGCCTCTTCAAGGGACATGACAGTCCAGTCCTCGTCATGACCCCAGTCGGCTGAATTCGGCGCACTCGCCGAATGCTCGTGCCTCACCTTCTCCCCGGAAGTGCTCAAGAGGGTGGGGGTCGTTCTCGACGTGCACCGAGCTGGAGAACTGGTAGTGGCGCGAGGACAGTATGACCTTGAACGGGTCACGGATGATGAGGATCGCCCGGCGTGCTGTGATGTCCATGGGGTACGCCGCGAAGTCGATGCTATTTATTGTCTGATCGGGATCTGCAGCCATGCGCAAATGAATGCTATTGAATGCTTTTAGTGAATGTGATTGTTTAAAGCATGCATAATCTCGCCGTCAGCAGCAGCAGCGGTGATGTTCGCTCCCTGGCACATCGCATTGCTGTGGTAGATGCATGGCAGGTGCACGGTTGCAACTTCGACGCCGACCAAGAGAGATTCGCAGCCATCTACACAGCGACGCGCGAAGCCCACGGCGGGCCCCCACCCGGCACATCTGTCGCGTCGAGAAGACTGCCGTCACGCGCCATGCCACGCCGTATCGTGACCGGTTTCGGGTTACCGGGCCGGACCGGTCGGCCATCTGTCCAGGCCCCGCTCGCCCCCCCCCCCCCCTCCCCCACTGCGGGCTCTGGGTACACGTCGACCCCGAGACATACCATCTGGCCATGAACACTGCTTTTAGGCTTAAGCTCTTGATGAGAATGCATGCGGTTGGCTGAACACTCGAACTACACTGACATTACAAAGCGCAGGCGTTACGCGACCTGAAAAGGAGCTACGTTTACCACAAACCGAAAATCCTGCACTTGTCATTGGAAGCGGTACAGCTAATTCAACGTGACCCAATCAACCTCTTTCGATTTGTGGTCGGGAAATCACACTTCACCAACAAACAGGAGAACGTGCTACATACCAGGAATGACTCGCGGAAATGGCGGATCGTGCGTCTTCGTAACGATGACGTTCTGGGCGAATATGTTCTGCAGCTCGCCGAGGAAGCCAGCACGCAAGAGCTCCGGGTCAGAATCGGAACCGTAGCCTGAAATACGTGTTCCCAATGAATGTCTCGTTCAAAAGGCACGAAACGACCAACGACCAAAACATCACCGAGACCTGCAGACATGTGAGATTATCAACTATCACATGGGAGTAGGGAAAGCCTGAGGGGGGGGGGGGGGAACGGCCCATCTTTTGTCTTTTGCAATGTGTTCTGAATCGCTCCGAGCAGCGGGTTCAGCATGTTTTAGCTGCTTTGAAAAGACCATTTTAACGTATTTGGTCACGATGTTTTTGAAGTTAAGCAACGTTACGTAGGCATGACCCTGGTGATAAAACCGGTGCAGCGGCCCGTTCTTCCAGAGGCACCACATTCAAAATTTTGTTTCCTGTCTCTGATTGCGTGATGCAACATATCGACCGGTTTTACTTCGATACAATCAGTAGTGATCACATCATATAAGGTGTCGACAGACGACCAGAAAATCTCACTTCACACACGTTTATAAGGAATTAACGGAACGAATGTGCATCGTCTATTTCTAGCAAGCGGGCAAAATCCGAACACCTTTTCAAGGTTTTTTTATAATTCATTTCACTGTCATAGAAGTACACACTACGTCACATGACTTGGAGAACCAAGTTCGGGTATACGCGACTTGCAATCAATAAACGACCATCAACAAAATTCAAAATTCGTGAGCAGGCTGTGCTCGCCAATAGGTAGCCAGCCGGCGATGAAGTCGCACACAAACACAAACCATTGCGAATGAACGGTGGTTTATAAACTGCTGATGAATTGCTGGCGAATACCCGATCTTGGAAAACTTCGGAAAATCAGAAGATTTATGAAAAATAATCACCAGACCAAGTCATCCCCTGACGTGACATTTACATGGCCTTATTTTGACCACGGTAATTCCCTTTGTATTTTTACCGTAGAGTATGCCTCAACAGTGTCAACAACAGTGTCAACTGGCAGCTAATAATTGCCTGGATACCGATTACTGGGCTCATAGGGAGGCATTACATTTTATTTTAACTGTTCAACAAGATATCCTGCCAAGTCTATTCAATAATTGCAAATGAATACATCTCTAACAACCGCATCGTTCTAACCCATGGCGTCTAACAAACTTCCTTTGACATTGCTTTTCTACTTTTCTTCAGAAATCGCAGCGCGAGAGCATCGGTGGCATTACTTGATGTTGCTATGTATGGCCACTGTCCGTCGCTCCATGTGAACTGGGGCTCTCCGTAGTGGCTGGCTGTGAAGTTGAGCTTGGCCAGCCAGCTGTTGTGGTCCATGGATATCTTCCGCGAGTACTGTCCGGATCCCGTGAAAACTCCGACTGACACCTCGATGAGGAACCTCAACCACGTGTTGCCAGACCGCGGATGGGATACTAGGTACACGAGATGGTCCATAGTTCTCCTCTTGGCAAACCTGAAAGAAAGAGATGGTGTTATTTCGCTGCCTGGGTGATCACGTGGTTGGAATGTTGACGTTTTCAGCAGGGATCTACAGCAGACGGCAGGGTCCAGCGCTCCGGGCCCAGCGGTGCGTCGGTTTCCTCTCACGCACAGGGAGAAATGTGATAATTGTTTGAACTACTATCTCCATTAACGGTGCTGTCAGGAACGAGGCCAAATACCGCGCATGTCTTATCTTGACTATGATCATGCTTTCAAAGAGAGCAGCCACTGATCGCAGGTTCATACAGTTTTAATAGGAATAGGAAGAAGGTCGCAACCTCCTATCGATCCTAGAAACGTTTTATGCAGTGACACAATTTTACCTTAATTTCACCTCATTCGTTTGACTGAAATGGAGACATAAATCCCTCAGATAAGAGAGGCAGTCCACAGCTGCACGGGTGGGAAACGTACTCACGCCGGGACTCGAACCCGCAATCTTCGGTTTATGAGACCGACGGTTCACCCCATCCGTCTGACTAAAGCAGAGACATAAATTCCTCGGATAGGAGAGGCAGTTCACAGTTGCACGGATGGCAAACGTACCCACGGCGGGACTCGAACCCGCAATCTTCGGTTAGGAGACCGACGCCTTATCCATTAGGCCACGCGGGCTACGCCGTGGGGTAATTTAAACTTTAATCTCACCTCATTTATCTGACTAAAATGGAAAACATAAAATCCTTGAACGGAAGAGGTGAAGCACTGAGCAGCTGCCCGAATGGAAAGCGTACCCACGGCGGGACTCGAACCCGCAATCTTTGGTTTAGGAGCCTGACGCCCTTTTCATTAGGACACGCAGGCTGCATCCCGTACCAATTTTACCTTAATTTCACCTCATTTGTCTAATTAAAATGGAAGACGTAAAATCCTTCAATGGGAGAGATAAAGTAGTAAGAAAAATAAAGTAAAAATAGAGTACACATGGAAAACGTATCCACGGCGGGACTCGAACCCGCAATCTTCGGTTTAGGAGACCGACGCCTAATCCATTAAAATCCTTCAATGGGAGAGATAAAGTAGTTAAAATCCTTTAATGGGAGAGATAAAGTAGTAGGAAAAATAAAATAAAAACAACGTACACATGGGAAACGTACCCACGGCGGGACTCGAACCCGCAATCTTCGGTTTAGGAGACCGACGCCTTATCCATTAGGCCACGCGGGCTGCACTGTGAGACCTGATGGATAAGGCGTCGGTCTCCTAAACCGAAGATTGCGGGTTCGAGTCCCGTCGTGGGTACGTTTTCAATTTGTGCAGCTATACAGCGCTTTACCTCTTCCATCCAACGAAAGCGAATCTAAAAACATTGAAAAAGCTAACGGAACGTGTCGAAGCCATGCTGGATCACGAATACTCGTCACAGTGGCACGAGGAGGAGGAGGAGGAGGAGGAAGAGAACACTCATATTGACAAAGGCGGCACGTGCCCGAGTGTTTTATGGACCTAGGCAATGTGAGAAGGGGTGATGATATCCTCCGGTGCTTTTTACACACGCATTAAGATCAATTGTAGTGAGCGTGCTGAAAATTGGTGACCTTTCGTTAACTCCCACTTGTCACTTCCTTTTTAAGCAAAATCGAGCTCACTTCATTATCCGAAAGTGATTCCGGCAATGGCTTCGTGAGCCCGTACGGCCAAATCACGGACTGGAGGAGCGGAACATGGAATCCACGAATTTGGTCTTTAATCGATCGATGTGCCACTTAGTGGGCCATAACACTGTCTATTGCATCAACGCTTATCTCATTCCAGCGATGTGTGCGTAGTAATGACTCGGCGATGTCCCGAGTCATCGTGTATGCGTCTTTCCCTCTAGTCACATGATTCACAGCAGTGGCACGAATGATTAAAAATAAATGGTGCGCTCGAATAGGCTAAGATCCAAAAAAAAGCGAATGCGCGGGCGATACGTGCTGGAACAGAACAGGAACAGTCTCTCGCTGTACTTCAGCAGCGAGGCTAGCGGTGCATTCGCAACGACCCGGGCGACAAAGGTGATATGCCAGCGACGTCAACCATGATTTCATGCCCCATAGTTCCAGCACCGTTTGGCATTCACGGCGACCCGGACAGCAAAGGTTATACCTGACATCACGCATAATTTTTTTCTGGATGTGCGGAATGCTTGTCCTCGACTCAAACGGAATAAGGCAAATATGGCACAACACACTCATTTTTAAAAATATTAATTTGCGTGGCTAGGACCGACCGCGAGTGATACCAACTTGTCTTTAATCGAATAAAGAGCAAATATGTGGTGTTACAAAGAGCAATGTATGCAGTTTATCACAGAGAGCAAAATTTGCAGTTCCCATGCTTATGAACACTCATAGTACATACAAACGGGACTTTTGTGTCTTTGCATGCGTAGTGACTGTCACGACGGCAACGAAGATGTCAACAGAAAGAGATGACGCAGAATCTATGCTGTCGACTCGATAAATAACATCATACCCCACAGATTCTGCTCCGACTGGTGTTCGCAGCGACCGGGACGACAAAGATTCCGCATGACGTCACCGAACGCGCTGAACCTTTTCCTGCGATTCGATCGAAATGAGACAGAAATGGGCGCAACATATTTAATTATAAATAGGCGAATTTGCGTGCCCAGGACCGACCACGAGTAGTGAAAAAGTGTTTTATGCGTTGTAAAAAGCATAATTTACGTTTCCTTTTCTAAGGAGCACGTAAAGAGCCTGCAAACAAAAATATTGTTTCCTTGCATACACAGCTAGTGCACGACAGTTACGAAGATGTAGACAAAAAGCGAGTCGTGCCGCGAAGACGTCTGGCAAATATTCTACGAGGCGTCACGTAGATTAAAACATTCTTGGTACGCTGTCAATGCACCCTAGGTGCCGATTCAAAACTAGGCCGCGACGACCACACTGCCTATTGGCCTCTCTGCAGAACCCACATACCAGTCAACCGTACGCGGTGGCCACGAATTTCGGTCAGCTGATTTTCATCGAAAGTTTTGTTGAAATATGGGCTAGCTGAGTATCAAAATTTTCTGTGCCTGACCTAAAGTGTCGGTTTATCACCGTGTGACGTCACTGAGCCAATCCATTGCTCTCAAAGGTCTGCACGGCGGACGGTGCTCCGTTCCGTGTCCCAGGCTTTGTGAGCACCCCTGCTTCATATCCATAGTGATTCTGGAGGCGTCAACGTAACGAAGCCTCATGACATCTAGTAAGGGAGGAAAGGGGGGAGGTGAAAACGAAATGAAAAATTGTCCTGTTAATGTCTTAATGTGTTTTGGGAAGGTTTTGGTGAATTTCGGTGAAATACTGAGTTAGCTTAGCGAACAATAGAGAGCAAGGTCGCCACCAAGGGAGACAGAGCTCCTTCCGTGAGTATGAAGCGATTACACGATGAGCTTCACCACGACGATGAAGGTCGTTATCATGTGCGTCATCTCGCCCGCGACCTTTACAAAAACCATTCCAAGTCAAGGCCAGGTCGTCTAAAACCTTGCAATTGTTGCTTTAGAGCAATGATGAAAGACATTTTACATTACCTCCGATCACTGTTTTCTATGAAGCATGTGAAGAATCTTCGTAATATCTGTATAGATCATGAAGTGCAAACTCACTCAAGACCTTAAGCAAGGTTTTAGAATGACCTCGGATGACCTGACAGTAAGACCCCTGCGAGTGAGTGGTGATGCGCACTGTGGCGAAACAGATTTTCTACATGTGCATATGAAGCTGAGAGAACCGGTCCAATGCAGCCAGTCAAAAGTTATAGATCATGTAAGGGGCTCAAGGGACATAGCCAAGGGGAAGGTCAAAGAGTCTTTGCCTTCCTCCCCCTCTTGATTCAAGAGATTGACACTAGATACTGGATGATTTTACAAGAATTCAGTCCAAACCGTAAGGTTTTTGAGAATGACATTGCCTACCCCGAGGAAAATTTGGTTATTTGGGGCAGCGACGGTGCAGCAGGGATGAGAGCATACCTTTGCCGGCTAAAATTTGGGGCTTTTTTCCAAACTAAAACCATTGTAGCTACTCAAAGATCACCAATAGTTATATACAGGAGGGCCCCATGACTGAGCTATCAGTAGTGTCGGTAGTATCAGTAGTATCAGTAGTATCAGCTAAATAGTACGAAATCGACCTCAGAAGACCCTTCTCGACATCAAGAGGCTTTTTATCGGTCGTGAGTACACCCAATACCAACGAACTGGCCATGTTATAAGTTTCGTTATTCCGCGCTGATTGGCCACGTGGTAACCCGTTTTGGAGCACGACTTTGCGTTCAGGAATTTTCATGCTTGCCTAAAGAGACTAACCTTACAGCGATTTGCTGCCGTCTTTATTTCCTCACTGGTTACCGTCTCTATCAGTCGTCGTGAAAGACGCAGGAATAAACTTATGCTAATGTAAAATCCGGCGGCATCTCATGTGGAACGGCTCTCGTGCTAGGCCTGTATGCACGTGGGATGGAGACCTAGATTATGTGTTGTATGCACGTGGGATGGAGACCTGATTTATGTTTTGTATGCACGTGGGATGGAGACCTGATTTATGTGTTGTATGCACGTGGGAAGGAGACCTGATTTATGTGTTGTATGCACGTGGATGGAGACCTGATTATGTGTTGTATGCACGTGGGATGGAGACCTGATTTATGTGTTGTGTGCACGTTGTATGCACGTGTTGTATGCACGTGGAGACCTGGTTTATATGTTGCGCTGATCCCTTTCGGTTCGTGTCACTACGGCCTCGTGAAACAGCGCCGAGAAAAACATCACGAACTGCGGAACAGATGAGTGCTACGCGAAAAAACTGCGGACATTCTGGAGTAAATGATCTTGAACAATGTCACAGCGAGAAGTAGCAAGAAACACAACACATCTATACTGTGGGTCTAATGTACAAAAACCAACTGCGTGCAAATCCTTTGCCTTAA